AGGGAACATTTCAAAGCTTTTCCAATCTGGAAAAAAAAACTTTGACCAGCAGGGAAAACTGCGGTCAAGTCAAGGACAGAGAATCCTTAGCTGGTTGGATGGTTCGGGTGACTCACCTCATAAGGGGGAATCTGTCAGTGTGCAAGAGAAGGGCTGAAGAGGAGGCCAGAAAACAAGGCAAAAGGAAAGGGCTCAAGAAAGCCAAAGAGCAGCTGGAACACGACATAGTGAAGGATGCGAAGAACAAATGCGATGTGACAGGAGGAAACGCAGAAAGGAAGTAAAGCCGTCTTGAGGGGGAAAGATTTGCATCAAGCATCATCCTATTACCCAGTTTCTTAAGGGTCCTTCTCTCTTCTGAAATATGGAAAGGTCATTTTTTTGGACTACGCTTTCCAGCATCCTACACCAGCATGTCCGATGGGTGCCGAAAGCGATTTTTCTGAGCACTGAGCCATGCCACCTTTCCCTGGGGTTTGGGACCTCTAACAGAGAATTCTCAAAACCAGCTCCAGAATTTGAGGTGTCTTGTTTTTTAAAGGCAAGCCATGACGGTTGCAAGGGACACACCGCTCTCATAGTCCATCACGTCTGTCAAGTGGGTCTTCTCAAAATGCCAAAGGAGCAGGAAGGAAGGCCAACCCACGCCACGGCAAAGAACACCAGGTTGGGGATTTTAAAAGGGGTGCCTTTCAGGACAGGGTGAGAGATGGAGAGAAGCAGAACATGGGGACCTGGGGAGTCACCTAGCTTTGCGCAAAGGTGCGCCAGCGTGTCTTAGATTGGGTCCGAGGCAGGAAGAAGCTCAGCGTCATCGTTGTTTCCTAACATGTTATTGAGCACCTCCTTAGATCAGCAAGAAACAAGGTTGACGCACCAAGCGGAATATTGAGAACGGAGTCCAATAATCATTTAGGCTCAGTCAGATCCCATTTTCTGCCCTGTCGGTACAAGCAGTGTCCGGTGCAGTAACAATCCATATGTTTCCACTGGCTCATTAATGACAATAATGATCTTTGACACTTCCTGGGAATTAATGAGTGAGGCTTATTTTTTTTTAAAAAAAAATTGACTCCGAGGTTCCCTCTCTTTGCTTTCCCGACCTTTGAGCTGGCCATTGATCCTCAAAAAAAGGTCTATAAAGAGGAGTGTGTGCATTCCTGTTTTCCGTTCTTAAAAATAAAAAGGCAGCAGTCTGTTGCCTTCTGCCGAGCGGTCCAGCTGCAACACCTCTGTGGGCCAGAAGACATAATCTCTGTCACTCCCAACTGTCTCTGGGTTTGCCAGGAAATGTTCTCCATTTCGTGGATCATGGCATTGCTCACCCAGGACTGAACCTTAAGCCAGGGGCAAGAGGTGTGTGTCTCTCTCTTCAAAGGCAGACGGAAGCCGTCTCCCATCATCTGTCACCATGGGCTGAGTTGTCCCAGGTAGACATTTGATGGAGAGGTCCATGTTCTGAACTTGCAGCTGGCATATCCTTCTTCCTAATCTGGATGGTTGCTGTTTTTTTCCCCCCATGAAGGATTGAATTTCCCAGGTTTTGCCTTTTGGAAGATGCTTTTTAAAAAAACATATGTGTCTGAGTAAGACTTACCCGATGGGTCATCCTTCAAAGTTCAGCCCTCTCTCCAGTATCTCTATAGGTAACATTTCTGGGCTATACATCTTAGTACAGTTTGAATGTAAGACTATGAGGGCAGAGGGAAAGCCTCTGACATCGTTTTCCCTTGAGGCACACAAATCTTTCAAGGTAAGGGCCTGGGAAATGAGACAGGCCAAGAGAACTGTGTTTAATTCCTCCCAGGAACCAACCACAAAACCAAAAAGTAAGCCAATTGGTAGAGTGGAGCAAGCTTTATTAGAATAAATGGAAGGTCTTTTGCATCATCAGGGACCTCTGCTTCTAAAGACACGCTAACTGTCATTTACTCTGGCTCCAACACACATCCATACATGTGCATCGGCACTGGGCATTTTGTGACTGATTAGCTATTTTTAGGCTCCCTCAGAGCTAGCCAGCATGGTTAGTGGTTAGAGAGGATGGGGGACAGTAATCCAGCAGTGTCCAGAGGGCCACCTTTTGCCCACGCCACATGAGCGTACGACTCACCTGAGATTTGAACGGTCGAGATTGCATGATAGCCTTGTTTTCCTGGCAGATCCCAAAGCAAACAGGCCCAATCTGTTCATGGGCTGGGTTTTTAGAAACAGAGAAGCACTGCAGCGTGGGTGACCCTGGAGTAGAATTAATGCGTTGCCCAGAACAGATGGCGGGGAGCTGTCGGCAATGTGCCGCGCAACGGAGGGATGCTCAGAAGAGGGGACTCGGCAACTGAGTCAGGAGGAAAACCCTGCCAAAGGCTTTGTGGCTGCTCGTACTGGGAAGGGGGGAAAAAGGCTTTAAGAGCTGCTTGCTCGTGCTTTGGCCCACGTGGACGGAGCCCACATTGCTGACCCTTGTTGCTGACCAGAGAATCCACCCAGTTTGCAGTTTGTCAGTGTGCGCACAACACTGGGCAGGAGGACTCTGGCCCCCAAGGACGTGGGGTTTTCTCCTGTCCTTTAAAAGTTGTTCTGCCTTCATGGGGAAAAAAATAAAGTTATCTGATGTCCTTATCACTAAATATATTAAAAAAGGTATTAAAAACACACACCCAGCTCCTGCAGAAGATAAGGGCCTGCGAGAGGAAATGAGTCCCGCCGAGGCAGGTCGGCGCTCTGACCAGGAAAAAGGATATTTATCTTTCTTGAAATTCCAGTTTAACCTTAATTTTCTGCTGTTTCCTTCTTTCGTAGCGTGCCTATTGATCTTGCGTTCCCTTTGAGCTGATTAATTTTCTCTTCCATCTGGTTGTTTAATTGGCCTGCTGAGATTGTACATCAGCAGCCCTATTGATTATTTTCTGAAATTTGTGCCAGAGGGGGTGCAACCGAAGCATGTGTTTATTTGATTGCTTCCTTTTAGTTTTTATTTAAAGTGTTGTAAGCCCATCGGCGAGAATATCTATGCTCCTCACTGAAAACCAGGTTTCAGACCTTTATCCCACTGCCCTGCCCTCCTGTCAAAGGTATAAACTGTGGCTCTAACCGAGAGATGTAAGATTTTTTTTTTTACTTTTATGGAAATAATGTCCTCCACCTTTCACAGACCTCTATAAAAGACTGTAAAAGGGGGGTGGGTGATACTTGGTCATTTGATTTAGGGGAAGAGAAAAACTACTGGCATCTGTCAAAAAAAGGATGTTCCCCACCCAAAATGAAGGGAGCAAGAGATAAAGAATGTAATAATAGTCATGGTGAGGGTGATCTTAGAACTGCAGGGCTGGAAGGGACCCTGTAGATCATCACAGAGCCATAGAAGGGAATCGAACTCCCAACCTCTGGCTTTTCAGCACTAGACTTAAGCCGCTGTGTTAATAGGTGGACTGCTATTCATGGATGCTCCCGGGAATCACGTTTCACCTTTTAAATATGTGGCAAGATTTGCCTGCAGTGTTTAACATCAAAAATTACTCTTGCTACATTGGGCTTTTTAAAAAAATACAAACCAAAATGGGTTTCCAGCCGTTTCCACTTCTGTTTTCCCACTCCGCTATGTTTGGCAGTCCCTGGTCCTGCTAAAGTTCCCCGAAGTTGGTTTTTTTAAGACTCCGCTGGAGGAGAAAATAGGACACACACACACACACACACACCCTTGGCTTGTAGGGGCTCTCTTTTTCCCTTGGCTTGTAGGGTCTCTCTTTTTCATCTTTAGTCTGACAAGCCCCCCCCCCCAATAGAAACAAGTGTCTGTTCAGATGTCGCTCTGCTAAGACATTTTGGTGGAAATGGTGACACACACACCCAGCCAGCCATTGAGGGCAGCTGCTCCTTGACTGCTTCAAGATATGGGGAATCTTTTGCCTTTAAGCAAGAGTTGCGAAGAGCGGAGCTAAGGCTTCCATTTTTTATTTTATTTTTTGCCATAACCATTGCCGCCGCCACGCCATCCCTCGAAACATGGCGATCGCCTCGCGGCGGAGTGGCTAAACTGCAATACTGCGGTCACATTTTTGCTCACAATCTGGCTTCGATCCCAACAACAGTGGTTGAACCGGTTCTGAAACAGGTTTAAAGGTGCGGCATAGATACGCTCCATGTCTATATAAACAGCTTTGAATGTGGCAAAAGGAACATGTGTTTTCTAAATCTGTTGTTGTTCAGCTTTTCAGCTTTTTTTATGTTGGCTTTAAAAAAAAAACCAAACAAACCACTCTTTCTTTTATTCCACATCTTTCCGCCTGGTGTCTTTTGTTTTTTTGTTTGTTTGTTTGTGGATTTTGCTTTGCTCTTCATCCAGACCACCTTGGACAGCATGCAGGTATTTCAGAAGAGAAAATATAAATAAACAAATAAGTAAATATCCCTCTCTCTGCATCCCTAACCCACTGTGAAGTGAACACATCCACCTTTTGCATGAACGGGAGAAAGGGAAACGATGCTTCTGAAAGCATGCTTAGGGGCAGCCGATGGGTCTTTTCCAAGCGGGGAGACCAGATCTGATCCGATCCAGTCTCTCTCTCTCTCTCTCCAACGATGAACCTTGGCACAAAGAACAGAACCGCTCAAGTTTGACAGATTGACATTGATTACTAACCCTAAGAGCATGCAGAGGAAGTACGGTTCTGAAAGTTCATGCAAAATGGTGACTTTCAGGTTGTTATATGGATTTTGTCTGAATTCAGATTAGCTAGCAGGGTGGCTGATTTTAATGGGAAGACAGGAACAGGCAGTCCTGGAATTATACAAAATAGTGGGCTGGTGCACAGCAGGATGGGTGGATTTTTAGCCCTGCCGCAATCTTGGGAGTTCAGTTGCCATGTGCCTGAGCTGGAATGGGTAGTGGTTAGGCGTGATGGGAGTTGTAGTCCCAAAGATCTAGCAAGTCAAAGACTCCACGCCTCCATTATGTAAGGATGCATGGTCTGTTTGTATTATATTGTCGTCGTCATCTTTGAACTGCAGAGTTGGAAGGGAGCATTGAGTCCAGCCCTTGTCAAGGAGGCCTAGTGAGGAATCGAACTCTCAACCTCTCGCTTTGCAGCCAAAGACATTGAGCACTAAGCTGTCCATTCTCTCTCAGCTTGATTTTCAAGCCTTACAAATTCCACATGGAGAACCAGATAAGCCCTCCAGGTGTATTGTACAGTTACAGCCATCTGATATGGTTTAACTGCTGTGGCTCTATCCTAGGGAATCATGGGATTTGTAGTTTTGTGATGAGGACATTGGCCCTGTTAGCTGGGGGAATATAGGATTTGTCGTCACAAAATTGCATGTCTTCAAGCTAATGCCTAGGCATACCTCCAGTACTGGATGGTTCCTGTGCACCTCCAACGTGACCTATAGCTGCTGAAACCTTTTCCTTCCTTGGGTCTGTCCAACAAGAGGATACTGAACTACCTGTGGAGGAAAGAGGTCAAGGAAAGAGGAGGAAACCGGGCACATAGTCCCAAGACCTTTGCTGTGCATCGCACCTTAAATTTAGTCTCAATTCAGACAAATTTAGTCTCAATTCAGACAATCTACCCTGAAAGTTCTTTCTGTTGCACCTTTTATGCATGTGTTTGCAATGCCTGTGATTCTCCTAGACTAGATCCTTTTGTCCTGGGGTTTAGAGCTAGCTCTCAACCAGTGGCTCCCAACCTTGGGTCCCCAGATATTCTTGGACTCCAACTCCCAGAAGCCTTTAACACGAGTTGTGCTGGCCGGGACTTCTGGGAGTTGCAGTCCAAGAACACCGTGGGGTCTAAACAGATTGGCCATTATGTGCACAATTCCTGACCTGTCGGTAGTCCTTCAGGGGGTTGCAGAAACTATGCTCAGCCGTTAGAGATCCTGGGAGGCATTTCACAATGTTGGGGGGCAAGGGGGTTGTGCTCATGACACCAAGAGCTGATCCTGCTGTTGCTCAAGCTCGGTTGGCGTGCCTCCTCGTGTGGTAGAGCTTAGAACACGTAGGATGGTGCAGGCAGAGGACCCTTTCACACCCTGTCTGAACCTGCAGAGAAGAATGAAGTGAAATGGATAGCATCTGGCTGCCCACTGGGTGCTCTGTAGCATCTCCTTTCAGTGCATGGCGATTACATGAGAACCTCCATTATCCCGAGGATTGAGTATCACTGGCTGCCTGACAAGAATCCTGTCCTGTCAGGCAGCCGTTCCCAACCTTGAGTTCCCCAGATGTTCTTGGACTACAACTCCCAGAAATCCTGGCCAGCACAGCTTGCGATGAAGGCTTCTGGGAGTTTTAGTCCAAGAACATCTGGGGACCCAAGGTTGGGAACCACTGCGTGCAGGGAGATAGTCTGCAGCAAGAATCTCCATATCTTCTTTTGTTCTTAAGCAGAATCTGCATAGGGAGAAGTGCTGTGGATGACACGACATGCTTTGGGTGGGCATCACCATCACAACAGCTGCAGTCTTCAGATTGTACTCTCATGGCCTTTTTTTAACCATGTGGGGTAGGAGAAGAATCAGCATGGCCCACTTTCAAAACTTCTTCCAGTGCCTGGGGTCCTACAAAGAGATCCATTCAAAGGCTTGGCATGCTTCTTTGAGTTGGGATATATATATATATATTGGCTTAAAATCCAAAGATTTCTGCTTTGACTTCATGCCACTTCTCTTTCCAGCTGGACGGACCAAGAAATCTAATTGGGCAACATCTGGATGTTATTCATGGCTTTTATGTGGCTTTCTTTAAACACAGCCAAAACAGCTGCCATTGAACATTTTCAAGAATGCAGATACGTTTGGTCCAGTGTTAATTTTGTGCTATGGATAAGCAGATGAATGGACAAATGTTGATGATAAACAGTACTGGCCAGGATTAAACCAAAGGCCCATTTGGTCCTATATTTAAACTATGGCTATACCAAAAATGATGACAAATATAATTGTGAAGACTGCTTAAGAAATTTCCCCTCTCATCAGTTTTGTTTGTCTTGACATTTCTAGGAAGCATGTCCCATCCTGTGAGATGCCACCTCCTACAGGATGGCTCTTCCAGAGCATGATAAAGGGCACCTTTCTTTTCTGCATTAGGATCTCTAGAATTTGTGCAACATGTCTGTGCATAAAACTAGTGTCCCATCACTTTGCAAAGCAATGACAGCCACACTACAGCCCTTCTTGTTTCACCGTTAAAAATAATATCCAGTCATTTCCTCCAGTGTTTGAGTTTCCTTTTGGCATTGCATCCATCCATCCATCCATCCATCCATCCATCCATCCATCCATCCATCCATCCATCCATCCATCCATCCATCCATCCATCCATCCATCCATCCATCCATCCATCCATCATGTGTCCCAGTTTGCCTTCAAGGGAGTATGTGTGGTTTTTCCTACCTTCCCTGTTTTATCATCACAAGGCCCATGAAAGGTAGGTTAAAGTGAGAAACAGTGAGCAACCCAAAGGGTCTTATCTCAGGGAGCATCTGAACCTGTATCTCCCAAGTTCCTTTCCAAGATGACAACACACTGACTTCCAATGTTTGTATGAACTGAAGCTTCTGCGTGAAGCCAGACGTTGTGGTTTCTGTAGTAGCTGCGGACTTTTTCAACCTCAAAAGGATCACACCCATCACAATGCCCCATACCACCATGTCCTTGATGCACTTCTAGCTACATTTAGAGGCTGCTTCCTTCCATAAATGACTCTATGCAAGCTTCCAAGAATTTCAGCTCTTCTTTAGGCAGAGAAACATGCTCCAGTTGTCCAGAGCTTAGAGAAGTTACTTGTGGGAATGAATTTCTGAGAATCCTCCTGGGATTTTAGAACTTCTGGAATCAAAATGTCATTTTTTCACACTTTGCCTTTGTTTAGTAGTGAATGTATACCTTGCTGTGTGGACAGAAATATATATATATATTTATTTATATTTCTATCCACATATATATACAGTAGGACTGTGGTATCTGCAGGGGATCTTTTCCAAGCCTCACCTACCCACAAATAAACCATGGATAATAGCAACCTCTATAGCATGGTCTCTAGTGGCCAGTTCTGGTAATTAGATCATAGAAATACATATTAATAGGGGGGTTGCATTCAATATTTTTAATATTTTGAAACTGTGGATAAGTGAAACCAGCAGATACAGGCTTCCTACTGTTATATAATGCACTGGTCCATTGGAGCCCTGACACATTTGAGCCTGCCTGCATTCTGCCCCCTCCTGCCAGCATCTTCTCTTCTCTTCTTGATTTGCCCAGGCAAAGGTTCGCGAGCTAGAGGAGAAATGTCGGACCCAGAGCGAACAGTTTAATCTCCTCTCTAAGGAACTGGAAAGGTTTCGGCAGCAAGCTTCAAAGATTGATCTCCTGAGCAGCACCTCGTTGGCATCCTCTGATTTTCCCGGCTCCCCGACCAAATCCTTTGCCCAACTGATGAATGGAATCGCCACTTCCTTGGGGAAAGGTAAGAGGAAAGCCCTTGCCTGCAAGATTGTCTGTAGGATGTTAAGGAAGCTGGATCCACACAATGGTGTGGTTTCTCGGGACGTGTTACAGATCAGAGCTTGGGGCGTGAACTGTTGGAGCTGCTTGCGTCTAGAATCCCCCCGCCATATAGCTCCCCCAAATCCCCAGCTACTATGGGGGATTCTGGGAGTTATAGTCCCCATGAACACATCCTGCAAACACAGGGCTCCAGATGATACACTAAATTGCATTTTGGCATTGCATGAACCTGTCAGGTCTTGGCCTCAGACAGCAGTAGGTCCAGAGAGCAGAACCAGTTCATCAGAACCAGAGGAATAAAGTATCTAGAAATTTAAAAAGATGTGTGCCAGATAATTTCAGCCACAGTCCTTTTTTCCAGCCATAGCCTAGGTTTCCATCCTGTGACTTTAGCTGTCTCTCTCCCAACCCCCTGTGTTAAAAATGACTCCCTCTCCCTCAAGACTTGGGAAGACGCCGCCTCGCAGAGCGTGTGCGTGCGAGGTTCCTGGAGGTGGAGGTTTGCTAAGGTCTGCTCGGGTTTTACCCATCCTTACTCTTGTGGATCCTCCGCTCGCTGGCTGGCTTTTAATGCATAAATGATTTCCAAAGGTCGCAGCTCCAGCCTTGGCTGGAGGTCACCCGAGGACGCATGGAACGGCTCCAGCATGTTGACTTGTGGGCATCCGTCTGCCTAGCAAGAACTCCTGCTCTCAGATGAGGTTTCCATTCCAAAGCTTGAGGAAGTTACTTTTTTTGTCCTGTTAACTCCCAGAGTCTCAACTAGTATAGCAACGGGAGACCTTACTGAGGATTTTCTTCCCCCGTTTCTGGCCCTAAAGAACCATCGTTGCCCCGTCTCTGTTCCTTGCTGCCGTGCCAGAGAGGAGAAGGGCATGAACCCCTGTCTTCTTTCTCGTTACATCAAATGACCATTCCGTGTTACATCCAAAATAGCCCTCTACATTTCTGGCAGAGCTTTCTATCTGTGTCCACACCTTCATAGGCGCAGGATGATGGGTTGGTGGCCTGTCTCCCTTTCTACTGACTGTGAACAGAGTCCTTGGTGAAGTTAACTTTTCTGGGGTAGGGACGACACCTCTCCAAATTCCTGCAGCCAGAAAAGATCCCTGGGACTTTTAGTTTGGGAACCATCATCTGAAATAAATGAGGTTTCCAAGCTCTATCCAGTTTTGATGTTAACCCAAGACCAAGATGTTTGTCTACAGCATATTTACATATGTATACATGTGTTGATTAAATTCCCTTATCTATTCAGTTATTAAGCTGGGACGGCATGGGGGTGGGAGATTTTAACATGAAGAGCCATGCACAGGGGAAATGAACAAAACACGCCCTCCTCCCCTGCATTATCTCCCTGTCCCCCCCCCATCCCCAGATCCTACTACTTCAAGTCTCTGGATGTAAATTCTCACTTTCTTTGCCCTGTAATATCCTTCCCTTGCTTCAGACCAGTGGCTCCTGACGTTGCGTCTCCAGATGTTCTTGGACTGCAACAGGGATGTAAATTCTCACTTTCTTTGCCCTGCAATATCCTTCCCTTGTTTCAGACCAGTGGCTCCTGACGTTGGGTCTCCAGATGTTCTTGGACTGCAACTCCCAGAAGCCTTCGCCACTGGCCGCGCTGGCCAGGATTTCTGAAAGTTATCCTCCAAGAACATCTGGGGACCCAAGGTTGAGAACCACCGGCTTGGAGGATCATCGTGAGTCATTTCCTAACCATCTACGCCAGGTTTCCTCAGTATAAAAAAAAAATCATCATAAAAAACGGGATTAGACTGAAGATTTTCTGAGACAGCCCATCTGCAGGGCTTCTGCGTTTAGGAACTAGGTTGGTGCGATTCCCCAGCTGATGGAAGGGGTCCCTCTATGGGGTATCACTCCCCTTAAAGTGAACCCTTTATGGTGCCATCCGAAATGCCCCCTTTGCTTCCATTTGATCACCCCCTTCTCTCCACCACAGGCAGCGGTGGTTCATCTTTCGGACAGAGGAGTTCTGAAACCTGGCCGCTGTTAGCACTTCGGTGCAATTTTGTCGGAGCCACGGCGTGGGGCATTTCCACAAGGGAAACCTCTTTTTTAAAAAAAAAAAACCAAGTCAGATTGGATTAAAAGGAACAATGCAAATCCACTGTGGAAAAGATAAGTCTTCCGGCTTTGGGGATGGGTGATAACATATTTCCCTGTGCAACCAGTTGGCAAGATGTGTTGTCCATGATCGACACAAGACCATCCAACTTGTTCTCTCGGGCATTCTGCGTGGCCCCTAACGGATCCATCCTTAATGGTATGAATTGTCTAATGGGCTCATAAGTTCTGGCAGCTCCTTTGAGCTCTCGAGGTCTTTAAATTAAGACGTCCGTCATGCCAAGATTGTTTTCTTTTGGAGAAAGCTTTAAATCTCAAGAGGACTTCTACCGATCACAGCGAGCAGCACCTGTGTGGGGAACAAATTCCGTAAGGTCATCCTCGTAGACATTTTGTTCCTAGACCGCGTTTTCCATACCCCTTTGGCCCAAGAGCAGTTCACAAAAATTAATCCGAATAATAGCCATCATTAGAGTCATAACGCGCCACAACTCACCGAATTTTTCTACCGTGTAAAAGCAATGGAGACCAAATAGGCGAGTTCACAGTGTCAAATACCGACTTCCTACTTGCACCACAGAATTCGGAGAAAAGTTTACCTTGAAGAAAGGTAAGACTGGGTCTCCTGCCGTTGCTTGATGCAAGCCCTCGGCAGGCTCTCATTTCTTTTTAATAAATGCACGGCCAAAGAGGCCTCTGGGGGCTCCTTTCATCTACCCTTGCTGAGCCTGCCTGCACAGGATGAGAGCCTTGCGATGATCGATACGTGCCACAGTGAGCAGCCTCTGCAAGGGGGAGAGTGGGGGGGGGGACGCCTTTAGGAATCGTGGACAGGAGGGGCGGGTGGAGGAGAGGGACGTGCCGTACTCAGCTGTCCCCTCCACACTCCGCTGTTGTTCCTCGGGAACCACAAACACAGAAGCGGAAAAAATAGCAAGCGGAGCCCTCATTATATCAGCCACCGCGGCAGCTGTCGCAAAACCGCAGAGCTCAATTTAGGCCAGCGCTGACATCCTCAGATATCCAGACCTGCTCTGCCTCTCTCTGTGGATTGAGACACAGTTTGCAAAACCCGTTTTCTGTTATGGATTAGCTCTCTCACACACATACAGACACACATGGACAAACTGTCGCTCTGTCTCTCTTTTACATACTAGTACTCCTCCAATAGCCTGCTTCTTGTTGTTCTGTTCGATCACATCACGTCCAACTTACGATAATCCCACGAGTGAGCCATCTCCAAAGTGTCCTGTCCTCAACGACCCTGCTCAGCTCTTGCAAACTCAAACCTGTGGCTTCCCTAAGGGAGTCGGTCCATCTTGTGTTTCATCTTCCTCTTTTCCTGCTGCTTCCACTTTTCCCAGCATTATTGTCTTTTCCAGAGCATCCTGCTTTCTCAGGATGGGAGCAAAGTAGGACGGCTTCAGCTTCAACATTTTTGCTTCCAGAGATAGTTTGGGCTTGATTGGATCCGGGACCTACTTTTTTGTCTTTCTGGCAGACTTTCTATCCACACAGCTCTCCTCCAGCACCACAATTCAAATGAATCATTTTGTCAGCTTTCTTCATTGTCTGGGCTTCACACCCAGACAGAGTGACTGGAAACACAAGTTTCATAGTCCAAATTCTGGATCTTTATTGATAGCCACTTGATAGCCATTCTCCTCTGCCCATGATAATTTATTTCTTACTTCTGTGTCCTAAGTTTATTTTCCAATGTTAACTTGAGATGGCACAGACCAAGATTGGCAAACTGTTCCTGTTTAGCTTCCACAATCTCAGTAGAAACCATGCTGGACCATCTACGCCCTGCTAGTGCTGGCAGTGAGGGGTAGGTGGATTTCCAGGTGTTCACTTACTTCCTTTTTGCAGGTGAGACTGGAAGATGCTGAAGGATTGTCTCCAAGCAGAGACAAAACTTTTGGGGATTGCAGCTTTGTGCTTGCACAAATGCAAGCACATCTGTGAAAATAAAATCCACAAGTAACACACACACACACAGCAAGCTGGGTGCTCAATTTACTGACCTCGGAAGGCTGAGTGAACCTTGAGTCACCTACCTGGGATTGAACCCGGCTCATGAGCAGAGTTTCGGCTGCAGTACTTCAGGGGGACGTGGTGGCGCTGCGGGTTAAACCACAGAAGCCTCTGTGCTGCAGGGTCAGAAGACCTGCAGTTGTAAGATCGAATCCACGCGACGGAGTGAGCTCCCATTGCTTGTCCCAGCTCCTGCCAACCTAGCCATTCAAAAGCACATAAAAATGCGAGTAGATAAATAAGTACCACCTCGGTGGGAAGGTAACGGCATTCCGTGTCTAGTCGTGCTGGCCACGTGGCCACGGAAACTGTCTTCGGACAAACGCTGGCTCTACGGCTTGGAGACAGGGATGAGCACCGTGCCCTAGAGTTGGACATGACTGGACTAAATGTCAAGGGGAACCTTTAACCTTTACCTAGACTGCAGTTTAACCATTGCAACACGAGGCTCATACAATCCTATGCCTACCTAGCTCAGAAAATGTGTTCTACCAGGATACTAAGCTTGTCCCTTTGATATCCTGTCATCTCATTATTATTA